AAAATATGGGCCTTTGTACTCTACTAAATCCTTAATATTAAAAGTCGAACCAATATTAAGACCTTCAGGAAGGTCGAGAACATAAGTATTATCATTAATTTTCTTGAGAGTTTTGAAAGGCCCTGCACTTCATGCATGCAACTTTTTAACATCTCCCGGAGGAAACCATTCCGAACGTATCCGAACCATCACATAATCACCAACACTAAATTCTTTGAACTTCCTTCTTAGATTTGTGCGTATTTTATAGTTGGCATTGCTGTCGTTGATCTTTTTGCTGATTTCTTTATGCAAGTCATGTATGCGAGATGCAAATGCAGATGCTGACTCAGATACTCTATGGTGTGCAGACACAAGGACAAGATCTATAGGCTGTCTCGGTTTGTAACCATACACGACTTCAGCTGGACTGACACCTGTAGACCTATTCATAGAGTTATTATAGACAAATTCAACAGTAGGCAAATATTGATCCCAATCCCTAAGATTCTCACCAACTAGCGATCTCAAAAGATTACCTAAGCTCATGTTCACTACCTCTGTTTAACCATCTATCTGGGGATGAAAAGCCGTTGAGAATTGAAGCTTAGTTCTCATTTTGTGCTAAAGGGTTTTCCAAAAATAACTGGTAAGTTTAACATACCTATCAGACACAATCGTTTTTAGTAAACCGTGCAGTCTAACAACTTCGTTAAAGTACAGGTTGGCCACATGAGAAGCATCAGAAGTCTTGGAACACAGTATGAAGTGAGTCATTTTGAAGAATCGGTCCACAACAACAAGGACAAAATCGTGTTTTCTAATCGTCTTTAGAAGTCCTAACACGAAGTCCATACTAACATCCTACCATGGACAATTTGGGACAGGGAGAGGAGTATACAGACCAGTGTTTTGCTTACGTTGTTTAGCCAGTTGGCAGGTGTGATATCGACCCACTAGCCTAATAATGTCACGTTTAATACTTGGCTAATAGAAGCGACATTCAATTGTCTCGACAGTTTTGTTATTCCCAAAATGTCTTGCAAGGCCTCCAGCATGTAGTTCCCAAATCAAGAATTCTCTCAGGGAGGTGTTGGGAATACACAACTTGCGAAATAGAAAAGATATCCATCCTTCAGGAGAATGTCATCTCTTTCACGAGTCGCTCCATCGCTCAGCAAAGTGCAAACTTTGCTAAAATCAGAGTACGACTCATACTGCTCTTTGACTTTCTCAAAGCCGACAACTTCGGCACTCATAATGAAAAGAAGGTGCATGCGGCGACTGAGTGCGTCAACGGCCTTATTGTCTACTCCTACTTTATGTTTAATCGTGTAGGTGTAGTCCTGGAGGAACTCAACCCAACGACCATGTCTAGCATTCAACTTTTTTGGGAGTGAATATATCGAAGGGCCTCGTGGTCAGGATATATAACGAATTCTTTCAGTAGCAAGCAGTGACGCTAGAGGCAAAGAGATTGTATCATCGCATAGAATTCTTTAGCGCTGCCTAGTATCATCCAGCTTCTCACTAAATTAAGCAACGGGATGTCCTTCTTGAGATATGACTCCACATATACCAATACCAGAGGCATCACATGCAATTTCAAAGACCTTAGAGAAATCGGGTAGGCGCATAACAGACGCATGTGACATTCTCTGCTTGATCTCTATAAATGCTTTTGTAGCAGCTTTTGACCACTCAAACTCACCTTTCTTCAAGCAATCGGTAATAGGAGTCATGATGATGCTGAAACCCTTTATAAACCGATGACAAAAAGTAGCGAGTCCATGGAAACTTCGAACATCTCTAATGTTCTTGGGTTCGGGCCATTCTTCGATAGTTCTAACTTTCTCAGGATCAGCGGATACTCATTCAGAAGAGACCACAAATCCTAGAAAAATGACTTAGTGTGTAAGAAAAGTACATTTCTTAGGATTGGCATAGAATTGCTCTTTTCTTAACACAACACAGACTTGATGCAGATGGTCTACGTGTTGCTCACGAGAGTTACTGTAAATAAGGATATCATCAAAGTATACCACCAAGAATTTTTCTATGAAGGGGCGGAGTACTTGAGTCATCACTCTCATAAAAGTGCTTGGAGCATTAGTCAAGCCAAAGGGCATGACCATCCATTCATACAATCTATCTTTAGTCTTGACAGTGGTCTTACATTCGTCACCGGGACAGATGTGAATCTGATGGTAGCCACTCTTAAGATCAATCTTAGAAAAGATAGTGGCTCCAGACATTAGATCAACCATGTCATCTAACTGGGGAATGGAAAAACGGTACTTCACCGTGATCTTGTTAATTGCACGGCTATCCACACACATATGCCATGTTTCATCTTTCTTTGGCGTCAGTAATGCGGGGACCGCACAAGGACTCATGCTTTCCTTCACAAAATCCTTCTTCAACAGTTCATCAACTTGACTCTTCAGCTCTGCATGTTCATTAGGGTTCATCCTATAGTGAGGCAAATTGGGAAGGGTTGCTCCCAAGACTAAATCAATTGCGTGTTGGATGTCACGCATCGAGGTAACTGGTCTGGAAGGTCCTCAGGGAAGGCATCAGAGAATTCTTCCAACATAGGAACGACTTCTGGAGGAATCACATCGGCAATATCCTTAAGGGCTTCTCTAGCGGTGAGAATGAAAAATGGAGCTCCATTGGCTAGCTCACGATCGATCTCTTCGGCTCCAATCAGATTAACGCTTTTGGAAGACTTGTCTGGATTGGGCTGCTTGTCACTACCTTTCGGTTGAATAGGAAGGATCTTCACCTTCTTCCTGTCATGCTCGAACAATAGCTTCTTTGACCGCCCGAAGATATGAACATCGTTATCAAATAGTCAGGGCCTTCCAAGAATAACTTGACCCACATCCATCTTCAGAACATTGCACCAAACATTGTCCTTATAAATAGCAAATTGAAGAGGAACTAAACATCTCTCTTGGACATGAAGTGGAGTATCATTAATCCATGATACCTTGTATGGATTAAGATGGGGTACGGCCTTAAGACCAATCTTGGCTATCACAGTTGGGGAGACCACATTAATGCAGTTTTCACTGTTCACTATCACTTTGCAATTCTTATCACCAATCTTTGTGAACGCATGGAAGATGGAAGTACGCCTCTAATCATCAACAACCTTGGGTTGGGAGATGGTACATCTAACAACAGATATGGTAATGATTTCAATTTGCCTAAGACAACCTAGGACAGTATCATCTACATCATTCTCAAATCATCGGTATCATCGTCAACTTGATGGACAAATTCAACCTCATCAAGTTCAGGTTCATATTCATATTGGTCATCGATGATAGAGACCTTGTGTCGAGTCGGACAATTCGCAGAAACAATATGCGTGCAAGTATGAAGAATAGTGACAACAATACTTCACCAAATCAGCGGTCGATCTAGGCAGGAGCCTCAAGAAGAAAGTGCAGCTCTAGATGGTTTTTAAACAAATTGAAATGTACTAAGTTTACGACCTTGTAAATTATTCAAAAAATAAATGTAATGATTCGTTCTCATAATAAAGTTCGACTTGTAATATTTAGATCAGCAGATATACGCGACAAACAGAGTCACTCGCTCACTAATCAAGCAGAATACAGCACAATCACAATTGATATTAAAATTGATAATAACATGCACGCGATAGTAGTTCCTAAAATACTGGGTCGAAAGAAAACGAAATCTTCGGCAGTCTGAACGGGCTCGACTTGAGGGACCTCTGGAGGTGGTGCGACGACGCCGAATATGAGGGGAGAGAGTTCTCCTCCGATAGCTACGTAACTGGAGTGAAGTGGCACTTCTGGGTGGAAGCGTCGATGCCACGAACTGATTCCCAAACGACTCTCCACGCTATCAACTATTTGAGGGGTCATGCGATCAACGTACTCTGCTGGAGTGTCGAGGGGCTGATAATCGAACCACCGGGAGGGCTGCAAATCTACCACACCAGTCTCTGTACCGTACATGAACTGGGCGTCTTCGGCTGCAGGATCGGCCATGTACCAATGAACAGCGGAGTCAGGATTCAAATCAGACTCGAGCTGGACTCCAAACGGGTTTGAACAGGCTTTGGATCAAATGTGAAGCATTAACGGGTCTGTTGCCAATGCGGGTTGGATCTGAGCTGAAAATCCTATCCAATTGAACCCGATTCGGATCTAATCAAAACAAGTCAGACCTGAAATTGCCTATTCTGCGTTATTTTCGATCTAAGCAGAGGAGAGAGGCGAAGCGACTGAAGATTAGCGGTGGATGGCGGAGATC